TTGATGGGACACCCTGGCGGTCGTGCTGCTGTCGGCGCCGCTCGTAACAAGCTTCGAAATCCGACGGGGCGGGCCACAAGCGGAGGTTGTGCAATCGCTGCTCAACTTCGGTTCGGGTTCGGCGGATAAATCCCGAAGCTTGGCGTGTCTAGTACTGCCGACAATCCTCGCACGGTGGGCTGGGCCAATAGCGGGCTATGGAATTTCACGGTACCACTGTGAGCTGGTGATATGGAAGGAGGAGGTGAAAGGGAGGGAAACTTAGTAATAATGGTGAAGCCTGGGGATATGTAGTAGTGAGTATTGTCCGTATTTGGGTAGTCTGGGCCCCTAGGGTCGCGAGTTATAGCCCAGTGGAAATCCCCCACGCACAGTCGGTCGTTCTCTATCAGACAGGGGAATTTCGAGTTTCTCAAGTTTCCCCGTCCTCTGAGTTGTTCGCCTTCCCAGTACTCGCGGTACTCCGGATCCCTCAGACTTTCACGATCGGTGATCCAAAAGGGACTTTCCTCGGCCATATCCGGCTAATGAGTTCGATTTCCCGCATCCTTCTGATAAATTTGGAGTCGGCTTATGCAGACGCGCGCGTACGCCACGACTTGGTTTTTCGAGATCACGGTCAGCGTGCGCACGAGCGGCAGTGAGTCAGGCTCAAGTTTCCTGTATCGCGATAGCGATTGTATCCTACATGCAACTATCCTACTCATGCTATGTAGGGGGGGATCCGAATGTTTCATTCATATCCATACCATTCACGTGACAAAAATGAGAGAAAAGGGGGAAAGGACAATCAACATCTCACAACATTCTTGGTGGCCTTATAACGATCAACTTGAAGGACTAATAATAAAAACCCTAACATCCATAGCGGGTGCCTTCGATCAGAGGCAGATGGATGATAGAATTAGATAAGCATCGCAAAACAAGATCGGGAATCGGAAAAGATCACTAATGAAGAAGAGTTCACAACCATTCATGCATACATACGAGGCAAAAGCAATAAAGAAAATTTGAGACGATTCACAAGGAAAGGTCCAAAAAGACCGCGACAGAAATCGACCATAGCCGAAGCCAAAATTATACAGACGAGCAAAAGAAAGAATCTCATCCCGCACCCACAACTGCTCCCTCTCTCTCTCTCTCTGCTCCACACTCCCAATGCGGGCAGTCCATCGCCTCGCATCAACACAGAGTTGTCACCCCGCTTGGTCCGAGCATGCAAGCCAGGTTCGCTTGTGCGCCACAGTCCGTCGCGGCCCCACATGTCAACCCCGCATACCCGACACCAGCTCGTCGGATCGCCCAACTCTCGCACTCACTCACCTTCCAAACTTGCTCATTAGCCGATCCTCACTGATCGCGCTAACCTCGAAATTCTTAGAGAGCAAACTAATCGTGCTGGCATAATTTATAGCATGCATGCCTGCGAGAAAGGTACAGGATTAAGCCCAGGTGGATAAGAGGGAGAGAGAGGAAGTGCCTACGTCTTGCATGGCCAAGCCGCGGCGTGGGGGTCATAGCCACACTCCACGCATCGATCCGGTCATACGGGCGCTCTGGCCAATTAAAACAGAGTATGCGCGACGAGGAAGAAGGAGAAGGCGGGTAAACCTTAGGAAACCAAGAAGGAAGAAGGATACAGTTACAATTGCGCCCGCCAAAAACGACAGTTACACAAGATTAAGGGTGCAACCCAGTCAGAGCCCAGTTCCCAGCGCGGCAAGGTCCGCGCAAGCGTGGCGCAACAAAATTAAGAGTACCTAAATTCCTAGCCTAAGTCCTAATTGCAAAAGGAAATTCCGAAAAAAGCAGACGAGAAAAACAATTCCGCGAGCCCGTGGGGGCTCGACATCAGTTGAAAATTCAAATACGATATTCCCGCGCGATGATCGCACCAGAATTCTCAGTGCTCACATCAGAACAAGAAAGAAGCTATGGCACAGTTATTTCTCGCGCTTGCCAAGGTGCGGCTACCCAACCGTTGGCACGGGATCTTCCCGACACGGATCCGACAACTCCTAGCAGAAACGAAAAGAAACGAGGACATCCATGCAATTTGTCCGCCTGACCCATCTTCCCACAGCTCACCCATTCGACCCGTCGTATTTCCCCAAGCAGCTTCGCGCAGGAAGTCGCACGATTTCAGAAAACATTTCGTCACAGCGCGCCAAACCTTGTCGAACCGCTGGTGGCACACTTTTTTTTTTTTTGGTTGGCGCTGCCAGCTATTTTGTTCCGGTAGCCCCGAACCTCGAAAAATTTCATAGGCGATGAAAAGAAATCCTACAAGGTTGGGGCCGTGTACTGGCGGTTGATATTATAAAGTACGACATGGTTTAGCCATCCTTTGTTTTGGAGAACGAGTCCTTCAACCGTTTTCAGATCGGTGGTTGAGGAAACGGGATCAGGGCGGTGTGCAATGATGTTTTTACCTTTAACTCTTGTAATTTAAGATGCGTGTGGCGAGACCCTAATCCCACACAAACCCTCACTTCAACCTGTAAAATGTACTTTCATCACTTCAACCTTCAGAGATTGTATGTTCGCCTTTTGTTTGAAAAACACAACAGAACTAACAGACCACAAACAACATGCACACCACAAACATACAAAACAACATGCACACATGCACGTCATGTACAATCATTGTGATAACATTCCAAAACATCTCTCTCTCTCTCTCTCTCTCTCTCTCTCTCTCTCTCTCTCTCTCTCTCTCTCTCTCTCTCTCTCTCTCTCTCTCTCTCTCTCTCTACTTTTTGCATCTTAGATCTTTATGCCGAAACAACAATTCACAAAACAAAAAATTGAAATAACTTTAACATAGCCAAAAAGGGACATGCACACAAACACACATACACAAACAAACTACCTACATACAACTATTTACCCTCCCCCAACCACACAGATGTACTTACTACGGGTTGTGCACCTATGCCCTCACAGTAAGTCAATAGTCTGGACTTGGCTTGGGGCAAGTACATGGGGTATCAAACTAATACCAACTGAGTGTGCAGGTGAGGCTGAGGGCCGGTTGGAAAATTTATTATTTTTGTCAGCTGTGTTTCGGGAAAGACAATTTGAAAGGCGTTTCCCATCTCTTCACGCCCTTGACATCTTCTTTAGCCTGTCTTCAAGTTATCATTCTTGCCTCTGGCCTCTTACTATCCCCACCGTATCTCACAGGGTGGGTCCAAGGGAGTGGCATAAGTAGATGCTTCAGTTTGCTTTGTCTCTTTGGTACTGGGATGCTGGACCAACAGTTGCAGCTTCCCCCCCATAGACTGGAGCCATCGCCCTGTGCAGGGCTCCAATTCTGATGGTTCACTCACAGCCACTGGGATAGTCCCCTTGCCCTGAGATGTTCTTGTACAAAGAAAAAGCAAAACAGAAAAGAACCGCGACCCACTCATACAGACACTCAGATCCATGTTGGCTAAAGACCTTACTAACACTGACTAGGGGGGGGGCAAGTCGGCTATCTCAGCTGGTTGGCACCAAGTGCGGTGTGCGGGAGTATTGGCCTTATACACTACTGTTACTCAGTGGGGTTGGGGGAAGATGAAAAGGGAGACACAACTACTGGCAAAATGCTCGGTATGTGTTAGCCGAGCCCCCACCGGTGGCCCCACCCTACCCCCTGTGTCTTAGTTGTAGTGGTAGGTGGGTCGTGAAAGGCGAAGTTGAGAGAAGAATATAGCTAGGTCATTCACTTGCCTTCTCTTCTCCATTTTTCTCCTCTCTTCCTCTCCTAGTCTATGTACACTATGGGGGAACACCAACCAACATGTACCTCTTCCCAACCGACGGGGTAGGTTTGCACCATAATGTTGGTATGAGAGCAGAGCTGTACCATCCCCTCATCACGACGATGTGTCGCTGGTGGGGGAGAACCACCAGCGACACCTGACCATCCCCACATCACCGGGATGAGGGGCTGGTACAACTTTGCTCGTGCACCAAGACTGTTGTTGAAACCTACCACGTGGGTTTGAGAGATACGGGCTGGTTGGTGGTCCCTCATAGTGTACATAGAGTAGTGAGAGGAAGAAAGAGGAGAAAAGGGAAGGCAATTGATTGAGCCCCCCCACTGGTGGGCCACACTACTCCCTGACCACTGCCAATTAGGGCGGGGGGCAGCATGCGTCCCCTTGATCGTGAGAGGCAGCTATGCTTGCAGGGGTCCGCTGTATAGGCTTAGTAGTAGTGGTACGAAACTGAGGGAGTACTCACACTACTGTAGTAGGACGTTTTCTACCTATCTCTGGCCTTGATTGCAGTCAAATTCATCCAGATGGGGCCGTAATTGCAGTCAGATAATTTTAGGAAAGTGCAAGTGTGAGTATACCCTGAGAGAAGAATAACTCAAAGAGCCACATCCACTCCGTTGCAACACCTGGGGCAAGGTCCCACTTGCACGGATTAAGAGATTCTGGCCGTTGATCTTTGCTATCGACGGTCAATATCGCTTAATTCGTGTAAGTGGGACCTAGCCCCTGAGCTCTAACCAACTGAGGGAGCCTATGGCCACTCCATCCTCCTGTGGCGCACTGATCGCCATCCAGTTGCCGAGCTATTGCGGTGGACAACAGGGACCCGTGTTTGGCCCCATTCTTCGGCATCGAAGCACGGGGGCTGCACTGGGGCTGCACTGGGGCTACCGTAGCGGGGGCGAGGTCCGACTACCCGGATCCTCCATTTGTGACCGTCGATTAGGAAGATCAAGTGCAAGACAGCAAGAATTCTGGTACGCGGGTCGGGGTTGAGTTGGCGGGAGGTCAATTTTCAAGATCAAGTGCAAGACAGCAAGAATTCTGGTATGCGGGGGTCGGGGTTGAGTTGGCGGGAGGTCAATTTTCAAGTCTTTCAAGGTAGGGTTTTCTTGTGTGGCGGGATTGTCAATCAATTTTCATTTTCATTTTCATTTTCATTTTCATGAACGAGTGTGGACTTCTCTACCGGTAGGTAGGCAGTTAAGTGGCGGGGTGGCATAGGCGCCGCGGGCGCAGCAAACCGGTGCTTTTGCTTGCACTGCTTGGGCCATTTTCGGCGTTTTTCGCTTTTACTCCTGTTGCCGCATTTTCAACTCTTTGCAAATTTGTTGCTTTGCAGCGAAGGACAGAAGAAAGACACAGCGAGGGGGCTTTTCTTTCCTACGTGGAGGGCGGGCGATCATGGCGTGCGCCCTTCCAGACCACCTCCACCACTACCACCACCACCATTGTCCTGCACCTCTGTCTTACAAATTCTTGTTGATGCCCGGCCCAGTGGTCGGCGAGAAGCGGAAGATGGTCTACATTCCCGACGTACTATCATTTGACGATCTGTGTTCGAAAATCCAAGCTAAGTTACCAAATGCGCGGCATGCTTTCTCCATCGTCGTAGAGATGCAAGTGGCGGATCCTCCCCCCGGTCAGGAGGCGCATCTTCTGGACGAAGTATGGGCGGAAGTGGAAGACTTGGAGCTGTTCGACAGCAAAGCCGTGACCAACCTGCGCATTCGCGCAAAGGAGGCGCCGCCGACAATGAGTCCGTTGATGCCGGTGCTGCAGACGCAACTGCCGCTGTCGTCTGCGCCTCCTGTGGCGGGTCATGCGCCGCTAGCTCGCGCGCCGTCTTCACCTTCGCCCACTCTTTCTTCTCCCTCTGTCGCGCCCATCTTGTCCAACGCTGCTGCGCCCGTCAAGCCCCTCTCTTCCGCTGCCTGCGGTCAGTCCTTCGGCAATCCCGACCCCTTCGGCACCTCCGCCACGTTCGTCTCTCGATGCCCGCCGGCGGCGGCAGTTTCTCCGCCACTGCCGCCCATTCCGCACACTCCGCCCGCTGCTTCTGTAACCCCGCCACACTTGCAGCGCGCAGCTGCTGCGCGCATGTCTTCCTCCACCCCGCGCTCAAGTTCGCCTGTGGTGGGCAGCGCCAGACCACCGTCCACAGGTGCGCAGGCGTTGGCGGAGCGTGCCGCGCGCGCTGTCCCCTCATCCCCTCATGTCCGTCACTCCACCGATGCGATCGCTCAGCCATCTTTTCCGCCGCCTCTCGGTGGGTCTTCCCCCATCCATCATCCCGTCCTCATCGGCCATTCGACGCCTCCAGCATCCATTCAGACGGCCTCCACTCTTGTCGATGTCAATGCGATCAACAACACGCCAGCTTCACCAGGTAGGTGGGATCACAACTCCTACTTCATTTTTTGTCCATTCTTTCCCCGCCCCCCCCTTCCCTCCCCGCTCCCCTCCCCCCCCCGTACATAACTCCTCGCTCCCCCCCGATTTCTCGGGATTCTCCCCGCCGTAACCCGTGTTTGCCGGGATGACAATTCTATGGGCCTCGCTTCACTACTCACCGAGTGTGCAAAATAATGAGAATGAAACTTCACCTAGAACATGGGAAGATACATCGCAATATCTTTTCTCTTTTGTGCATGTGGAGAGTAGTGGAGCGAGGCCCCATGCCTATGTCGCTGCCGTCTGATGCGAATTTGAAAACTGCTGGGAAAAAAAAACACCCCTGCAATCGAACAGGTTGTTCTGTCTGGATCACAAATTCTATTTTATTTGCCCCTGCTTCTCCTCCTCCCCC